CGGCTACCCCAGAGCTCAGTGGCCTCCACTCAGAGACAACAGGCAACACCCTGTCCAGGAAACACAGAAGATATCTCCCAGGGGCTTGGGAGGCTGAGGCAGGAGGATCTCGAGTTCAAAGCCAGCCTCAGTAATGGCGAGGTGCTAAGCAACTCTGAGACCCTGTCTCTAAAAAAAAATACAAAAATGAGGACTGGGGATGTGGCTCAGTGGTCAAGTGCCCCTGAGTTCAATTAAAAAAAAAAAAAAAAACCCAAAAGCTGAAAAGGAGGAAATGATTCTTACAGATGTGATAGGTCAAGATTTCAGGGTTTTTTTAATTGGTGCATAAAAATTTTATAGAATAGTGGCTTTGTGTCATATTTCTATGTGCATGTGACATAATTGGATCCATTTCGCTCCCAGTTCCTCCTTACTGTCTCCGCCTCCCTCTCCCTGCTACCCTTCCTCTACCAAGTAGTCTTCCTTCTACTTTCATGACATCTGTCTTTTTTTTTTTTCTTTTTTCCTTTTTTCCCCTCTGGCTTTCACATACGAGAGAAAACATTGAATTTTTGTCTCTCTGAGTCTGGCTTATTTCACCTTAATGTGATATTCTCCGGTTCCATCCATTTTCCTAAAAATGCCATAATTTCATTCTTTACAGCTGAATAAAACTCCATTGTCTATATGTACCATCTTTTCTCTACCCGGTTACCTGTTAATGGGTACCGGACTGATTCCTTAACTTGGCAGTTATGAATTGTGCTGCAGTAAACCTGAGTATGCACAGATGTCTGAAGTATGCTAATTTTAATTCTGAACAAATACTGAGTCGTGGTATGTCACATGGTACTTCTATTTAGTTTTTGAAGATTTCAGTCTCTTAAAAGTCTATAGTCATGCCTGTTGCTATGAGGAAACAAGTGCAGCCCGAGAAGAAGGTAAGAGAGGTGTAGCCCTCTAGTCCTGGCCACCTGAGATGGGGCTGGCACCAGGAAGCAGCTCCTAATGGAACATGTGAGTGAGCAGCAGAGGCTCCTGTGATGTGCCCTGGCTCCTTCCTCAGTGGAATTCCAGAGGTCAGAGTGATGGAGGGACACAGTGGAGTCTACTTACTGCTTGTTAGCTCGAGTAGGGAGAGGTTGAAGCTGGTGGCTGAGCAGGAGAAGGCAGCAGGATGCTGGATGTAGCATAGCCAGCCCACCCTAGTTGAGCCACTTTCCTCAGGCCCTAAATGCCACAACCTTGGTACAGGTGAAGACCCAAGTCTCCTCTAATCTTGACTCTTTACCTACACCTGAGTGGTACTTGTCTCGTTGTGCTTCGGGAAGTATTGGGATTATAGTAGTTTGTGGGCAGTGCAAGTTAGAGTTCTAGGATAGCAAGGGGGAGAGCAGTGAGGGAGATGCCCCTGTTCCATAAGAGGAGCCACAGCAAGGTCCCTGCCTTCAGTAGCCTTCGGTTCTTAAGAGTGAGTTAGACATTGAACAGGTTAATTTTTTAAAAAAGAAAACAAACAAGCTGATGAGAGATTATAGTCAGTGCTCTGAAGATGAAATGACTATATTCATATAATGATGATGTGTTGGGAAACAGGCAGCTAGAAGGCTGCCTGGTTTGGGTGGGTGGCCCAGGTTTCTGAGGTCATTGACATTTGAGCAGAGACCTAGGGAATGAGGAGCATCTGGCCAGGGGAGAACCCATGGGAGAACATCCAAAGAAGAGGGGCTGTTGTAGAGGGTAAAGCCAGGACTAGTGCAAAGGTTTGAGACTGGGGAGGGGAGGCCCACCTGATAACTGCGGGGGCCCAAGCCCACTATGCCAGGATGGGGAACTAGGGCAGCCGTGATGAACAAACCAAGGGAGAAGCACCTCTGACTCGGCCAGGGTCAGAAGAGGGGAGCACTCAGCCAGCAGAGTTTCACCTGTTCTTGACCTAGGAATGTTGACTTGGGAGCTTTAGGAAGCCATATTCCTTAATCTTTATTTCTAGAAAAAGCTGGAATGTGCTTGTACTTGAAGAGGAGGATAGTGGGAAATGGCAAAGCTGTCAGCAGACAATAAGAATGTGATATACACATGCACAAGGCCCTCTTGGGTTCAATCCCCAACACCACCAAAAAAAAAAAGAGTATGGTATAATTGCTGTATGCAGCGGGAGAAGGCCTAAAAGGCACCATGTGACACAGGGTGAAATCTCCATGCCGACCCACAAGGACTGTGATTCTCCTCCAGCAAGGGAGGCACCCTGCCACTTGACAGAAGTCGTAGACAGAGAGGTTGGTGGGG